GATATAACACGCGTAGGAATCTGATAAAATTTATGCTTATCGAATTGTTGGTCTGTTAATGTTTCGAGTTGTCACACCAATTGATAGGTTGCCTGTGGCAATTTAATTAAATTGTTAAAATTGATATCGTAACTAGATTACATTTGATAAATCCGTATATGAGTGTTTGATTCGACGCTCAGGCCATATCGGCTATCTTCTGAAGTAATTAAGTAAGTATCCTCTCATTTTGTTGGTACAAAATAAAATGCCGGCAACTGTAGTCACAAGAAATATTTAGCTAAAAAGTCTTTAGAAAGATATCATAAACAAAATAAAGGAATTGGTAAAATAATTTGTCCTAATTGTTCAACTGTTTGTGAACTTCAATTAATATTAAAAAAAAAAAAAATTAAAATTAACCTCCTAGATTTTCAGTCTCCAAGAATCAGTAACATTGTTCTATGTGTACAGCAGTCCCACAATGTCAGTGACTTCCGAGGAAGGAATCTATACAATACTAAAATATAAATGTCTTACTATCAAAGTATAGCGTTGTATTGCTTCGGTTGCTTAGGTTATTAATTATATTAATATACAGTACGCGAAAACGGAATTCATTTATTGTGGTGGTCGAGAAAACTTTGCAGATTGCAACAAACGGTTACTTGTTGCTACTATAGCTTATCTTATTGCCATTTTTTCCCGTTATTTATCCAATCTTGTCGACACGCTAATTTAGTGTATCAAAAATAATAATTTTCGCATACACAACTAATAAATAGATTGGATTGTTCTATTCACGGCTGATGATGTTTAAAATTTTCCGTCTAGCTCTAAAAACTCTCTTAGTATATTATCAAACACGTTCTATTCTATTCATAGTATGTTATAGCGGATTTTGCTCAAACCTTAAATAATTAAATAAGCTTAAAAACCCAATATTGCCAAATTACTGTACTTGTACCTTTTTGTACAGTGTACAATAGTTCGAGTAAATTATTTGTGTGAGTATTGTGAACGCTATATCAGTTTTAACAGTATATCGGTTATAAATAGAATGTAACAAATAAAGCTGTACAATTTTTTTCTTAGCATAAAGTACATTTCCATCGCCATCATTTACTGCGTGAACTTACCATTTATGACATATTCTTGATATTTATTCGTTCTTTATGTTCTCCATTTCCTAAAATATTTTCCGCATTAACCAACAAATACCCATTTATCGTAAATTTTTGTGTAGATCTCTCCGGGGAAATTTATACCTTTATACTTGATACTAGACTATACCCTCCCACCAAACTCTCTTGAGGGGGGGGGGTGTATTTATTACATTTTCGCTTATTGTAACACTCTTATTTCGTCATCGTATTTGTGTTCTTGTCATGATCAGTCATTTTTCATCATCGTCATTTGTCATACATTCCTGCATAAAAAATTTTCACACTTAATCAATCGTGTGAAAATGAAAGGATATGACTCATATTTGATATCTGCAACCCATATATAATATAAACTATCATTTCCCATGCTGAAAATGGGAAAGATAACCTCTTTTAAGTGAATATAGAAAAAGGTATAAAAAGTATAACAACGTATCAATTATCAAAAAAATATAAAAGTATAACAACACATCAACTATTAAAAAAATTTTCTTTTCGAACCCGATTCATTATTCTTACCAATTATTTAATTATAGAAAAGATAATAGTAAATTTTTTTGCAACATATTTATAATCTAATGTCTCAAATACTCGATATATTTATCGTCGATTCTCTTCAAGCGAACGAAATGGCTTCTGGACCGCCACGACGACATTCGTAGTTATGACATCATCGAATTGACTGGCACTATCACAAACTTAGAAGACAATGCCGTGACTGTACGTATAAACTAAATTAGACTTTTACATTAACAATCATATAACCTTTATTATTTTTGCTTCTCCCTACAGATTAAACCGTTTAAATGTCACTTTTCGAGAAAGTCAACAACAACCCTACTACACGCTCGAACTTGGTTACGAGCAATCGGCGTGATCAAATCATTGGCCTAAATGCGTAACAACATTACTGTATTTCCCATCCAAGCCACGCAATATATTTCTGGCAGTGGACCCACACTCCATCTCGCAGAATACAATATTACAGTCCGTCATGATACTAACAAAAAAAAACTTCAAGAAAGAACAAAAAAAGCAAAAATTAACTCTAAAGTATCCATTGTCGGAGAATTAGACATACATAACAACAAACTTAAATCTTCATAACTTTGCCTTTCTCTCTATCAATACCACCCCACAATTTACACCAACTTATCAAATATCCAGTAACAATTCAACTCCAACCGCTTTATCAGAAAAAAGATCACTGATGTACAAATCACTCTTCGATAACCCCAAACCCACCACACCTCCAAAACGAAGCCGAACGAACGACACTGTCAACCAGACTCCGTCCACTTCTAAAAGCTCAAGAAAACACAAAGACACTGACTCTACGTCGACAGTTGAAAGCGACCAAGATTCACTAAAACCCGTTAAGAAAGAAAGCACTCAGAAAAGGCAATTACGTTCGGACAAAATTGTGAATTTACCTCCGTATGATGAACAATAAATATTTTTTTTCTTCTAATAGACATATTAATAACCCAGATACTAATCAATAATAAACATCAACAACAACTCCCGTTCTAACACTTACAAGGGGCAAAGCCCCAATAAATTTAATACACTAAAATAGTAAAGAACCATGGTCCATGCCATGTACTCAATTACATACAATTAAAGCAGCGAAAATGTTCTCATAAGGTAAACCATAATTCAAACTTATGTTCAATTTCTAACTGGGCAATATTCTCTATTACGCCTAATTCGACTACGTCTAAATAATCATATTACTATTGACGTGACCATTCCAATACTGATCGTTGCATCACACAAACTATCCCATTACTTATTCCAATATGTTCTATATAAATAATCTTGCCTATACATTAACAGCACAAACTACCACCCTCATGTATTTTTTTTTTAAAATTAACTTGGTCAACCTTAATTAAAAAGAGGAGCGAAGCCCCCCCATACCTAGTTATATATAAGGATAATCGCTGCATGATCTATTTCAAGTATAGAATCTATTTCGGGTGTATTACAAGCATATGATTTAATTTTCCATGTACGACACCCACCATTTGAGATCTCCCGGTCCGAGATAAACAAATCCGAGATATGCAAATCCGAGGCATACGAATTCGGTTAATTATACTACTTTTACGCGAAAAAAGTAAATGAACGACTATCAGATAGGTACATATTTATGTGTCTATCGTTTTGATTGGTCGCAATACAAAAAAAAATTGATTAAATGCACCAATCATGAAGCTTTTCTAAGATCGTCCATAGATTTACACTGGTTAAAGTATGGTCGAAGTGCGGTTGGAATGCGGTTGGTAAAATAAATAATTATACAATATATTTTAATATAATATGGCCAAAGTGCGGTTATGTTAGTCGGAAATATACTTATAAAACAAAGCAAAAAATCTCTATCGAACCCAAATATCGAAAAATGGTTAAATGGACTGATTCTCAAATCCGTATACTTATTGATGAGCGTAGAAATAGAAATGATGAATATCATAAAATTGAATCAGATTTTGGGATAGCATCGCAACCAGAATTAATCAAGATCACAATACGAGCTTTAATGGACACCAATGTAAAGAAAAGTTTATGAATCTTGTTCGGGATTACAATGTAAGTTAAAAATTCACTCTGATCGGAACTTTTTTTATGTAACTTGCCTCATATTGACAAATACCTAAATCTATGATTAGTTGATGTGTGATTATATGGCGGGGAATCGAAGAGCACGAAGAAATCGAATGGGTGCGCAATACTTTGATGAGTTTTGTACGCATTTCTGGGAGAGGTCTGAAGGATGAATTCGATAGAATCCGTACTCTTAATACCTCAAACCGTAGGCAAAATAGAGATGTGGGAAATACAACACCAGCACCATCTATTGGGAAAGTTGAGCATGTATTGAGTACGAGGTTTTCCGTTAGACGAATAACCGGTCTCCATTTATTACTAGTAGAAGGAGTCAAAGACATTCACCCTATCCCACTTCAACCCGTGATAATAATAACACTAATATAAAGAATCCCCTGATATGAGAAATTCTGAGCAAAATATTAGCGTTCTCCAGCCTCCGATTGAGACATCATCTCTTCAACCACCATCTTATGAGGTTGTTACTAGTAGTCAACCCGAAAGTGATGTTAGTATGCACGATGTAGTAGGCAGTCAATCACATTCTCATTTGGAATCGATAAATGAGGAAGAAAGATAGCAGAGCTAGTGTCAGAGCGGAGCTCATTGTTTTACAATAGACACATATTTTTTAGCTAATATCGGTAATGTATTTGTTGTACCCTTGACAATAATAAATTTTTCAGAAAAAAATATGCTCCGATTAAGTGATTCGATTTTGTAAGTTCTACTATTTAATCGTAGTAATGAAAAAGCAGATCTTGAGAATGCTAGCTTCTTTACAAAGTTGGGACCACCCGAATTATTATTGTTGGACATTCTTTGGATTTAAGCAGTATATAGTGTGACTAAAAGTGAATATGCTTATCTTGTTTATTGATTATTATAAGAGAATTTCGCGTAGCAAGCAAACAGCCCAGGAAATTATAAAAACAATCAATTGTCCTACTTGCATTATCATCACTTACCTCCCGTAAAGTTTTTTAGTCGGATTCATGCTTAGATTTTTCTTTTGCAATCTGTTCTAATTCAGCAATTCTAGCTAAAAGCCTGGTATTCTCTTGTCTCAATAAATCAAATTCGGATTACATGTTTGATAATATTTTTATAAGACATAGATTTATTCAAAATTTCGAGTTAAAAAAACGTACATGCTTTTTACATATAAAATGAAATTACATGATATCTTCATAAATCTAACTTATGGATCGGGAGAGATATCTTTTGCCTTTAAACAAATTATTAATAATTGGAATCAACAGTCCACACCAAACTACCTGGCGAAGCGTCACCGATTTGCGAAACTGCTTTTCCATAAATTACATAATATTCTGTTCCCGAAAGATCTACAATTCCAGAGTAAACATCTTTGACTTTGAAATCTTTAATAAGCTTATTGTCAAGATCAGGACGACGTTGAACGTGAGTAACATTTCCGGCTGAGAATCCAGAATGCCCTGACAAATACCACCACTTATCAGATATTCCCATTTCTTTTCTAAATAAAAAGGCAAAACATTATTATAATAGAAATCATTATGAACTCATTATGAACTCAAAAAAATAATTACATGTAATGTTATATTTAGCGCAAAATTTGTCTGGAAAAATTTTTTCTGTTAAATGACAAAAGTGCAATTTAAATATGTATCCGGTCGGACTTTAGTTATAATACGATTCCGATTGGTTGGTGCCCAGCTAACTAAAAGAAAGTGTCACACTGCCATTTCAGAATTTTTTACAGGACCCATTAGCTACGGAATTTCTCCTTAGTCAAGAAACTTCCTCATCTCGTAATACAGTATGTAACAGTAAAAAAAAATCGGCATATAAGAAGCCAAATTAAGTTAAATATACATGCACTTTTTAAATGATAGATTTGTGGCTTAAACTGTAACACATCTATGTACTACTCAAAGCGATAAAAAAACATCAACTCCCCACAACTTGGGGTTTTTGCTGTTGAGTTCTTTCCTCTTGTAGGCTTTTCAAGTTTAAACTTATGATTCATTATATGAATTATACTTGTAACTCAACCTGAATTCATACTTAATACTCAAGTGACTCTTGCATTGAATACTCTCATATACCTTATTACTATCGGGGCAATCTTTAGTTCAAACACTGTTTATTATTTTTTATTATGAATCAAAATAAAGTCACCAGACTATGTATCTGGCATATACCCCAACATAAACCTAATAAGAATTTAGAATGACAGTACGTTATATAGAACAACAAACCTGTTTACTGACAAGTTTTTTTTTTTCTTATCTATTGGTTAGGAAACTTACAATTCTTAATCGTTTGTATATTCTGTAGTACTAATTCTATAATTTCGGAATACCCTTTCCCCCGTTTAAACAAATGAACAGGTTCGACAGACGAACAAATTTTAACCTTACTTATTTGTTTACAACGCCAACTAATTGTTAACAGAGAAGATGCGTAATACAGCAAAGAATGTTCTATAACAATTGCCTTTTATTGTTCATGTACTAACCTTTTTTCGTAAATTTTCAATGAAGAAATAAACAGGTATGACTTTTTATCTTCCATTATTTTCTACAACGCCAACTGACTGTTGTGAAATACAGCAAAGAATGTCCTATAACATTGTTCACGTATAACCTTTTTTTTATCGTACATTATTTTGTACAACAATTATGCTCAAAATAAAAATATGTGTCATTAAAATAACAGATTCTGTATAAGTAACATTCATAGAACGTATTGTGTCAAAGTTTCTTTGTCATTCTGTATAATATTTTGCAAGCAAATTTAGTTTGAAGGAGAGATATTTCGCCAGATATATAAAGCATACCATTTACAGCCTTTCGAAATCAGGTCTCTACAAAACTTCTCAGATATAGCAACTGTTGCATACAAAATACCCCGATTTTTTAAAAAATAAGACGGCGCGGTCCCTTAAAACGAAAATGGAGACAGCTACGGCTCTGTCGTTCCAACAATCACCGCGCGGACTTTGGGATTTTATTGGGCCTGTCAACAATCATACCAGGGACTTTCCACTACAAATCTGTTATCAAAATGTTTGCCACCATACGATAATCTCGTGAAGAGTGGCAAAATTCCAGTAATAAAATCGATTGCGTAATACAGATATATCACATACTATACCACAGAATAAAATCGAAGGTCGTAAAACTTCTCCATGCATGATGTAATCGTGTGACTTGCTGATTGTTACTATTACTATGACCAAATTTCCGAAATAAAATCACATGCCTGAAAAATCGATTGCATAACACAGATGTTCGATCAACATATATTACAGAATAAATTAGAAGGTCATGGAACTTTTCATGCATGATGTAATCGTGTGCATGTTAAATATATTTAATGAATTTAATGATGTATATTATCAGGGAAAAAAAACTAATAATTAATTACCCATTCTTCGATATTAAATGCAATTATTTAAGGGTGTCTTGCACCCCACATAGCGTAACCCGTGATGTACGATTAGGAATAATCACGCCAGTCCCTCTGAGATAATTATTGAATGTGGAAATAAAATCAATATTATTGTCTCGATACTAGCTGCGCTATTATCTTATATCGTTCCACTTATAACTGGGAGAAGTAATATTCATTGCTTCATAATCGCTAAATTCAGACCGTGTCTCAAAATCGCTAGATTCAGACTCTGTTTTAGAGTATTCTGAATCGTAATATTCGCTTAAATCAAAGTATTCTCCACATTTTAATCAGAAAACTCAATTAATATAACTTCCCCATCCGAATTAATTGTGGTAAATTCAGGAAATAATAATTCACAAAATATATATAATAAAGGAGACACTATATCAATGTTATTTCTTACGTAGTATATCCTTTTTTCCTCATTAGATTCCCAATGTTTTCAATCACGTCCATCAATCCTGCTACCCAATCTTGTTAGCCATGTACTTTCCACAACTAAGTCATATTCTGGTTTGTCAACAACTACAAAATACTCATATGATTTTCCCGAATATGGGGGGGGGAATTTCAACTCGAAGATATTGGGTAAAGAAACAGAAATGTCTCACCATTGCAGTACTGGACAAAAGTAATGGCGGTGGGTACGCGATTTTGTTTTTTGTTGATAGCATCTTGATATCGCGTTTTAGG